CCCCCCAACACACCTCCACCCCTCCTCTGTGGCACAATGCGAACATCCTGCTTGCAGTTTTCCAGGTACTTTTGGCACAGCGTGAAAACTTGTTGAACTCGGGACAAATATTCGACCAACGGCTCCGGGTTGGACCTCGACTGGACGACCACCTGTTTTTCACAGCTGGTTTTGGGTCGGGTTACTTACAAAAAAAAAAAAAAAAATACAAGACAGTAGTGTTTATCGCCACAGTGGCCCTTTCATACGCAAACTGGCTGTGTTGATTCAATTACGGGAAAGCAGCTGGACAATCCAGGAGAAAAAACAGTGCTAGTTCTGTAAAAGGCAAGCAGGATGTCGTGTGTGTCACGTCCTACTAGGAGGGGCGTTGGAGGGTGTCGGCTACACCACAGTGCCTTAAATCTCACTTGAAAATCGATTGGTGATTGCCAGGTGATGTAACACCGTTTGTCTATGTCATGTCCTCAGTTCGCTCTGTGCCCCTAAAAGCCCCTAGTCTGCACACCTCGTACACATTCTGGTGGACTAGGCTGGTCTGTGTTGGTCACCCTCTCCCCAAACTGGGGACAGATTGTCAATAGTTAGCAGCAGTTTTGAGGTTTCGATACTATAGCCAGTTGACGCTATTATTCGCTGTGTTTAATGGTCTCGTCCCCCCGCACAAATACATTTGAGTTCACTTGCTTTGGTTTGGCAAGCTTGTCTGGATCATATTAATCACAGCGCCCTGCGAGAAATAGGTCAAAACTTTAAAGTGATTTGAGAATCCCCCTGTTTGCCTAAATGTGAGCGCGTCACTTATTTTGTGTGTGTGTTTGTGTGTGTGTGTGTGTGTATCTCACTGCGAAGCTGGAGGCACACTGTCAAAGTACAGTCTTATAAATACTTGTCAATGAAGGAGGACTTTTGTAAGAACACAGAGCACTAAGACTGTCACGTTCATGGTCCTTGTCCATAGAAACAGCAAACAGGAATGAGTAGAGTATAAAATAAGAGAGGAAAGAGGAGCCTGTTGAAAGGCCTTAAAAGTACATACAAGTTTCCTGAACAGAGCATTTGGGCCTCAAGTTTAGTTTTTTGCCAACAATGCGATAGGCTTCCGTTGCACACTCATTCTTGTGAGGTGTACTGTTTTCACTTGCTTTTGCTGATTGCCGATTTGATAAGTATGCTTTTATTCTTTAAGTGTCTCTATCCCAATGCATTGCCTGGATTTGATTGTGCGAGCCAATCCCTATCACCCTTGACTGCCCAGACCCTCACTATGGCATTGACCCTCCCATCCCGACCCCCTGAGCTCTTCTGGAATGTGTGTTAGTAAAACATGTGTGTGTGTGTGTGTGTGTGTGTGTGTGTGTGTGTGTGTGTGTGTGTGTGTGTATCAGTTGACCACAGCTGGCTTGAGCACCACAGTGCCTGGGGGGATGACGACCCAGGACAAAGGATCATGAGACCCTCCTGTGGAGAGGTTCAGGGCCCCCCCAGTCACCTCATTCTCTGCCTCCTCTCCTTTGCCCTTCTTTGCATGGTGGTTCTGGACCCTGCACTCGGATGCGGGCCCCAGAACCGGCACCATCGGCAGGCCCAGGGCCGAGGAGGGAAACGCGGGGGAGAGAAGATGGGACTTTGTGAGACCCAGCGGGGAGCCGTTGAAAGAGAGGATGGATGTTCCTCCCAAGCTGCCAGGAGGGGAGTTGGCACAGCCCAGTGTGCTGAGGTCCAGGGGCCGAGAACTGAGTGGGGACAGGGGCAGGCTTCCACCGAGGCCCTGCAGAGCATGGCCTCCCAGGAGAGCAGCCGCTGCCCCTGGGATTATAATGTGGGCTCCGCTCACATAGGACAACTCTGAATCTTTCCCACCACCACTAGTAAACCCCCCGCTCTGACTTCCCTTTAACAGGGAGCCCACTCCACCCGAGGAGCCCTGCTCCTGAGTCACAAAGTGGCCGTGGGCTTTGATGTGCTTGCGGAGAGAGCTGGGATCTGTGTAGCGCTTCAAGCAGCCCACCATCTTGCAGTAGTAGGGCTTGTCCACATAGTGCGTGCGTGTGTGTTTGAAGCGGTCGCTGGAGTTGGAGTAGCGCTTGTTGCAACCCTCATACGGACAAATGTAGGGCTTTTCACCTGCAGGGGGAGAGATGATACAGATGTTTAGATTCATCCAGAAAATCTTAAAAATCTACTCCACAAAAACAAAAGCCTTTGTAGGAATTAAGTAGAGACTTTATACGAAGGATTTCACAGCCTCAAGCTGAGTGTTTTTGCAGTCATCGTCTTAGTTTTTTGAAACCAAACAGCTGTTATCTATTGACTCTCCAATCACAAGTCAGCCAATGAGCACAGCTCAGTTTAGCCTGCGTTCTTACTCTAATGGAGACCACCATTTACAAAATGTCATGTTTTATTTAATATGACTCGATAGAAGCCATCAAAAACACAAGCTGACTATTATAAAGAACTTCCTTATTAATTTTTACTTTACAGTTTAACTGTATAGCAAACACTGCCTCAGATATCCGTCAGTACTCACTGGGCTCTGACCACTGACCTGTGTGTGAGCGGTTGTGTATCTTGAGATTCTCCAGGCGCGAGAAGCTCTTGTTGCAGGTGGGACAGCGATGGGGTTTCTCATTAGTGTGAGTGCGAATGTGGATGAGCATTTTGTACCTGCAGCACACACAAACGAAAAAGCTTTAAATCTACTTCTCACTTGTTGAATTTCCCCCCTCAGAGACAAAAAGAACCGTTTTCAACTCACCTAGCATTAAACCCTCTCCCTTTGCGAGCACAGCCCTCCCAGTGGCAGCAGTACCCAGAATCCTTTTCAGGTTTGACGTGGAAGTCGTTAACGTGGTCTACCAGATCTTGCAGGGAGTCAAACAGCAGATGGCACTAAGGGAGGGGAAAGCATTTGAATATAATCTTGTGACAATGCAGTTGTTTTGATTTGATTCAAACTTCCCTGCAAGGGGATCAGAAAAAGCTTTACCTTCTTCCAATGACAGGCTAGCTGTTCATCTGCTGAAAGATCTGGAGAGGATCTCTTGTCACTAGTCTGGCCAATGAACATAGAGGACGGAAGGTGAAGTCCTGTCCCATGTCCTATTGGCACAAAGAACTGGAAGGCCTGTGAGATATGAGAATTCTGGTAAAAACAAACCAAACAAAAAAGAGGGAAAACAGCAACAGAGTTATTAAACTGCTGCACAAGCTTTACTGTATATCATACAACCCAGAAAATGAAAGGATATATGTAAATAAAACTCAGCTGCCACTGTCCATAGTTATGATCGTATAAGGGTGAAACCTTCTGTTTAGTACTAGCTGTTGCACTTCCAGCTTTAAAGCTGTGGAGTGCGCTGCATTTGAAAAACAGACAGGTGCTGATGGACGGACTGACTGACAAAGTAAAAGTGTTGCTTTTTATCAATGGAGTACTGAACTGCAGATTCATGTCCTTCCCTTCAAAAAAAAAAATCCCTTCCACTTTTCCTCTAGTAGTTTCCCGCTGTGCACTACAAAACCTCCCTACATCCCTGAGCTCGGCATGAGAGATGTAAGATTCGCTGGATCTCAGCTGGGGCTCAAAGATCTAATGCACCAGCTCACCCACACACACATATATACACACAGTTTATCTTAGCTCGAGGAGAGAACGGGAAGGATGAAATGCTGCGTTTACAAAGAGCCGCACAGGTACACGGAGATTTCAAGGGGAGCACAGACGGAGAAAAAGGGCGTACAGAGAGATCACAGTCTTCAGTGTTAGAATGCGCAGGTGACAAATTTCATAAAATGACACCGTTTCCCTGCACTGAGCTGCAGCTCTGTGTGCAAAAAGTGTGTGAGCTACTTTGTAAGATGTCTTATTTTTGGGTGTGACGGTAAGATAGACTAATAGTCTCCTATCTATGTCCACAGGGATAAGTTAAGTGTGCTGTGGCGAGTTTGGGTTGGAGGGATGTGTGAGACTCAATAAGATGTGGGGCGACTGAATGGCCCCAGCCAGCATGCCTCAATTCAATTGCGTGGGAATTGAATTAGGCGGCGTGAGGTCTGCATGTCTTAAATCCGATTATAAATGTACACACCAACATCCATACACACACACACACATCATGCCAGCAGGGCCACTGAGTCCAAGTTGCACAGACAAAGGTATTTGTTGGGGACACAAGAGGTGTTTGATAAGACTTTACCCCCTCACTCTGCCACTCTGTCTCACACAGAGGCCTCCCACCCTTTCCATAGCCTGATTCCCTTATGTGAGTGTGACACAACCCGATGTTGTTCCTGATTTGCTGACCCTAGCAGGCTGACTCACTCCTAGCTATCGACAGGAAAGTGTGCTCACTCACCGCTGCAGCGAGAGACGGTGTTCATTTTAACAACAACTTGGAGGTGAACGAAGAAAAGAGTATGAGAAAATGTGGATTTGGAGCACTTATGTTTGCTTGTCAGAGTGTGTGTGTGTGTGTGTGTGATACACTGATATACTCACGCCTGAAGGGATGTAGTTTCCGTTGGTCATTTCTGGAGAGCTTGGGGTGTGGCGGGAGGATGGAGACATGCTCAGGTCCACTGCAGGGGGGGTGGGAGTGTCTGTTCGATCATGAGGGACCACCTGCACGCCTATGAAAACACAACACAGGGACACTAGCCTCAGTGTGTCCACTTAAACATAGACAGAGTTGTGTTGTGGTTTGTTATTACTCACCTGTGTGTGGAGATGCTGGTGAGGCAGGCTCTATGACTGCTGTCCCATCATCTGCCATGTGGAGCTGGCGAGCATGTTTGGGGTGCAGCGGTGAGAGAGGAGGATTGCGCGCCCCTCTGTCCTTCCCGTTGGCCCTCCGAGGAAGCTTCAGGTCCAGAGGCTCGTCCAGCGACAGCATGATCGCAGACCTCCCTCCTGCAAGTGCGTGCAAGCTCGGCGTTAATATACACCTGCAATACTGCGCACGTAAATGTTGTTGAAAGTATCTCCCTTTCCACGATCCCACTGGGGAAGAAATACCTTAAACATTGCCGAACCGACCACAATCATAAACTGAAACACCGAGTAAGCCAAAGAAAAATAAACACACACACACACACACACACACACACACTGAGGGCCCAGTGACCCCTCTTCTTTTTTTTCTTCGACCTTTACGAACACTCATCCTGAGGAATGTCTACAATCCAATCCAGATGGTCACCCCCACCGCTAGCCTGACTTCTTTCCACCCCTCGGCCACTCTTTGGCTCCGTCACATCACCCCCACCCCTGAGACCGTGCACCTTCAGACACCGTAGACCTTTGAGACCAAACCCTGAAGGTCTTTAAGTTCAGCTGTACCCACTGCATTTATCTCCTCCCTCCTCTAAAAACACTGACCTCTGGACCCAGACTGGGGGCTGTGGGCATGACTCTTCTTCTAACTCTCATTCTGACTCAGGAACTGGACACCTCCATGAAGCCCACTGTTATATTTATGAGTTCAAATCCTTATAAAATAACTTCCTAAATAAAAAATCACATTCTTTTGATTAAATGAATTAGGAATTCTATTGTGGTCCAGTTTTTACGGCTTCAGTTCATTTTCTAAATTCCCTGGTGTGCAGCTCAATAGCAACTTGGACTGGCCACAGGCAGGTGGTGTACAGTAAGGGACAAAGAGTTTCTGTCCTAAGGAGACTAAGGTAATTCAACAGCTGTAAACTCCTGCTGTTTACCATACGGTGGTGGCCATTGCTCTGTTTTTTTTGTTTTTTTGTTTTTTTGCTGTGGCCTACTGGGAAGAAGGTGTAGACAAACTGACTCTGCGCTGACTCTGCGGCCGGGTATGAAAGCTGTCGGAGCTGAAATCAGTTATGATAAACCCAGCACACCCACTCCAAACCCTGAGGTTGGTTTGGTCTTTATCATATTACTGCAGTCATAGATTGAATGGAAGTGATGGACTTGTCCACAAACGTTGGCGAGCTACACTCTGAGCTGTACTGAAAGCATAAATGGAGACCATTCGCCCTCAAAGTCTAAGTTGCACCTTATGAAACAAGCTGGCTGCTGCGCTGAGGCACAGCTTTTACTCTAGCAACACTTCTTTATTGCACTTTACCAAATTGTACTACTGCTCGGCTAGTAGTTAGCAACTATTTGCAGACATATGTGAAAAACTACAGTAACTTTAGTAATCTGCTAACAACCAAAGCAATCACTAAGAAGTTTTTGGTACATTGCCCTCTTTGAATCTGATTTCCCCCACTGAGAGCAGGCATCCTCCAGGAACCACTGCTATCCAGTCAGGGAATACATATTTTTCACTAGTAACCGATGGTTGTATCATGTCTATTATGTCTAACTGTCATCCACATGACGTCTGTGAGAAACCTCAGTACACCCCCATTTTATAATAAATGCTTAATTTTAGAGTTCCAAATGTGTTTTGGAGTATTTTTAATTCTACTATTTCCAATTTAATAAACCTATGTTTGGTTTTGAGTGAGTGAAATTCTGGCAGTTTATTAGTATGTTATTTTGCATTAATTGGCAAAAATCTGTGTCACCCATACAGTCTATGTGAGGGATGTCAAACATAAGGTCCAGGGACCAGAATCAGCCCGGCAAAGAAACCAATCCGACCCACTGAGCGGCTCGGGAAAATCTACGTTTTATAGCTTTTCTAAGTGACAGAACTCCAGCATGGCTATGGCTACAATAAAGTGATTAATTAATAAACAATTAAATGACAGAAAGTTCCTGGTTTTACACTATCTACTATAGAAAGTGCTGAAAAAAGACTGTTTCTGTTAATTAATAAAAACTTTCAGTTTTATATTACAGGACAGTCTGGCCAATAAGCTACCAGAACTACTTCTTCTTTCTGTAATCGTCCACATTCATGTCTTAGAATTTAAGCCCAAAGATTTGTGCTCACAGATTTCTTTCCTTTTCTCAGGAGCAGCATTTCTTTATCACGTAGAAAGACTGAGATGTTTTATTAAAATTGCACTTCTTTTTCTTTTATTAAGATATCTTGGGGATTAATTAAACTTGTTTACACTGACAGAAAGGAGACTTTCACTGGTCTGGCCCACTTAAAAATGACTTTCTCATCCCTGGTCTACGGATTCAGTATGCTGACCAAAGTTGCTGGCATTAGCTGACAGCTAATAATCCCAGCCTGCCATGTAAATGTTTTCATTGCTATGGTGGCAGCTACAAAGCTAAAGGGACTATCATTTACATACAGTCTATGCCATACAATTTTGAATGTTTAAGCCAAGCTATCCTCTGAACATAAAGTCCTAAAATTCAGTGCTTCTCTACACAAACATCTTCTCCATCTGTACAGTTGCATAGTTTTATCATTTCTTATTTTAAGTGTCTATAAAGTGTATACCATATGCACACAGATTCTTGCAGAAATACATGCTTGCTTACACATGCATACAAGCAATTGCTCAAACTGTAATTTCAAAAATTATCCATCTGTTCCCCCTCTCCTTCACACACATGCCGAGACACACTCATAGAAGGGATGGCTAGTCGTGAATGGTGGGCTTTCAGTGCAACTGGCTAGCAGCCACATGAGAAGCCCTTGTTTCTGGGAGGCATGGAGCAGGGAGGTCACCAGGTTCGCCATCCCAACGAGGGATCGCCAACAGCTCACACACACACACAAATACAGACACACAGCCAGGGGGTTGGGAGGGGTGTAAAGACTCAATCAGCCATAGATAAGAGGATGATAGTTCACACACGTACTGATGCAAACAGAAGAAGGCACTGTATGAGAGCAGCATCATCGATGAGATGAGCTGTGATGCATGAAGAGACACCCATTTTCCTCACATGCACATAAAAACACATCTTACAACAATTCTTTGGGAAAAAAAATTCCAAAGGCCAGCATCAGTGGGTAAATAAAATATTACCTCCTATAAGCAAACTAATAATAAAAAAAACCCAGACAATCATGCATTCTGCTTTAAAATAAGCTCTTTGTGTACATTGTCCAGAATATAGTGAACCACACAACCAATGAACACATGAAAAATGTGAAGCTGTTAAATGACTCGCATGATGTAAAAGGTTCTTGGGTTAAAGAAATGTTGGTGTCGCAATAAAACACAGAACCTGAGATTTTGCGCGTTAGTCCTTAACCGGCTGTATGCTTCTCGCTTCACCAGTGCAGACCTCCAAACGAGGAGATTCCCTTATTATTGTTTTCAATCACACGGTTATTGTAAATTATATGGTGACACATAATGAATGTTGCTAACAATAAAGACGGGATTTTACTGGTAATTGCTGTCAAGTGGAGTTTGTTGTCATTAACTGTGAAAATAAACATTTAAAAATCTCATAGTGAATATGAGCATCTGCTGCAGTTAATACTACTCCCATTCTCTGCTGTACTGGGTGGCTATGACTAACTTGCTGTAACTCCTACCACACATGCTTGCCAAGAAATTTTTTTGGCTTTATTGTTTGGCCAAAGTAGCAGAAAATCGCCTGTCATCCACTTTAAATGCGTAAAAGCTCTCACCCCGAGGCGCAGACCAGGAATCAGCTTAACCTTTCTATAAATCCTGCTCAATCTTATGCAGGGACCCATCAACATTATGATCCATGCTACAAAATGCAATGAGGAATGGATATGGAATTTCTGAATCCATATAACATTGGCATAGAATTTGGTTTGGCACCTGATGTCAAGCAGAGAGCTACTACCACACACTAAAGATCTTCTCTGCTGGCTGCTCCTTGTGCATACCATTACACTAAACAGAATGTAATGATTTTGCAAATCTCATAAACCCACTGACACTAGAACATATTAAACATATAAAATGTCTACACTGAGAAAATGCACCATTTAAAACACATGTCAGCTCATTTTGAATTTGATGGCAACAGCATACGTCAAAAAAAAGTGCCGGGGCAACAAAAGGCTGGAAAAGGAAGGGGTAGTAAAAAGAAACAGCTTGACTAATTATGTTCACTGGCAACAGACTGAATATAAAAACAGCATCTTAGAGAGACAAGAGTTGCTCAAAATAAATAATATCGTCAAAAGATTCAGAAAATTTGGAGAAATCTCTGTGCGCAAGGGAAAAGACCAAAAATCTTCAGGCCTTGAGGCAATACTGCATTAACACCAGGCATGACTCTGTCATGTAAATCATTGCATGGGCTCAAAAAACTTCCAGAAGTTATTGTCTTTCAACACAGTTCACCGTACTATGAACAAATGTAGGTTAGAGCTCTATCACGCAATGAAGAAGCCATATGTGAACCAGAAACACCGCTGTCTTCTTCGGGCCAAAGCTCATTTAAAATGGACTGAGGTAAAGGGGAAAACTGTTCTGTGGTCAGACGAATTGAAATTGGAAATTATTGAAAGGTACATACAGATTTTAAAGGAATACATTCTCCCACCCACACTACGTCTTTTTCAGGGAAGGCCTTGCGTATTTCAGCAAAACCACATACTGCAATTATTACAGCAGCATGGCTTCATAGTGGCCTCCATGCCCGACTGGCCTGCCCGCAGCCCAGACCTTTCACCAGCTGAAAACATTTGATGCATCATGAAATGAAAAAGCAGACGAAGCAGACATAGGACTGTTGAGCAGCTAGAATCCTAAATCAGACAAGAACAGGACGACATTCCTCTCCCAACAGTCCATCAGCTGGTTTCTTCAGCTCCCAGACGTCCATAGCCTGTTGTTAAAAGAAGAGGGGATGCTACGCATTCCCAACTTTTTTTGAGATGTTGCGGCGACATCAAATTCAAAATAACCTGATATATTCTGTTTTTATTGATACATTTGACAATGTCCCAAGTTTTTCATTACACACACACACACACAAAATGGACTATGCAGTTCATTTTCTCCAATTTATTAAACACGCCTCTG